AAGGGAAAGAAAAATTTTCAGCTCAAAAGCATATGGAAGTGATTGTTGATAAACCAAAATAAATTAATAAAAAACAATAATAGAAAAAAAAAAGAAGTGAAAGAAAAAAGAAAGGTGGCTGCCTACTCTACTATAAGGCCAGCCTAGTCTATGACCAGGAATAGTGGAAAGAGCTATAGTCAGGAGTCCTAGGTCCTAGTTTAGCTCTATTATAGGCCTGCTATTAAACTTTAGATAGGTCATATGACCTTCATGAGCCTCTGCCTTTTTTTCCCCACTTAATAGTATTTTAGTTTTTCCAGTTGTATGTAAAGATAGTTTTCAACATTCACTTTTATGGGATTTTGAGTTCCAGATTTTTTTGTCCCTCTCTCCCCAAGATGGCAAGCAATCTAATATAGCCTATAAATGTACAATCATATTAAACATATTTCCACATAAGAAATAAAATGTTTCAACTAGATGAGTTCTAAGGTTCTGTCCAATTCTATGATTCTATATCCATGTTCAATTGTACTTCTGGAACAAGCAGTTACATGTGTCCAAGTAAAGTATTCTAACACATATCAATTTATGTAGCTCATTAAAAATAAAAGTCTAGGGGCATCTAGGTGGCTCAGTGGATAGAGTACCGGCCCTGGAGTCAGGAGGACCTGAGTTCAAATCTGGCCTCAGACCCGTAATTCTTCCTAACTGTGTGACTCTGGGCAAGTCACTTAACTCCAATTACCTCACTAAAATAAATAAATGAAAATCTATAGCATTTAAAAAAAATAAGTGCCTCAGGAAAATAGCTTATAAGATATTGACAGGTTCCAGTTGCCACCAGGCTTTAGGAGAAATAGAAACCGGCTGCCTTTAACTTTAGACAGCACTGAAAAAATCACCACTAGACACTGAATTAACAGCATATCCACTCAAAATGCAATTACTTTGTTCCTCTCAGTTTGTCACTTTTGCTGGGTTGTCTTAGTTACAATGTTAGCAGGTACTAGCACATTGACCAGGTGCAGGTATATCCGAATTGAGCTGTAGATATTGCAGAGTGTGAGGCAGTTTTCAGAAGAAGAAATCAAAAATATAGATAGTCACATGAAAAAAAGCTCTCAAGCATTACTGATTAGAAAAATGCAAATTAAAGCAACTTTGAGATGCCACCTCACACTAATCAAATATTGCAACATGACAGAAAAATGAAAATGACAAATTCTACAGGGAATGTGGGAAAAATTAGGACACTAATGCACTGTTGGTGGAGTTGCGGACTGACCCAACCATTCTGCAGAATGATTTGGAACTATGTTCGAAAGGCTTTACAATTGTATTTGCCTTTTGATCCAGCAATACCAGTTCTAGATCTGGATCCCAAAGACAGCAAAGAAAAAAGTAAAAGACTGATTTAAAGAAAAATATTTATAGCAGCTCTTTTTGTGGTGGCAAAGAATCGGAAATTAAGGGGATGCCCATCAATTGGGGAATGGCTAAACAAGTGTTGGAATATGGTCATGATGGAATACTATTATTGTGCAATAAGAAATAATGAGCAGGATGGTTACAGAAAAACCTGGGAAGATTTATATGAACTCATACAAAGTGAAGGAAGCAGAATCAGAATAACATTGTACACAGCAACGGCAATATAGTTCAATGATCATATACTGTGATCGAGACAAAGATACAAGACAATGCCAAAGGAGCTATGATGAAAAATGCTATCCACCTCCAGAGAAAGAATTGATGGAATCTGAATGCAGAACAAAGCATGCTTTTTTTTTTACTTTCTTCATTTTTCTTGGAGGTATTGTGTCATTTCTTTTGCAACATGGCTAATACGGAAATATGTTTTGCATGACTGTACATGTATAATCAGTATCAAACTGTTTCTCTTCTCAAGGAGGGGGGAGAGGAAAAAAGGAAGAGATTTTGAAGCAGAAAATTTTTAATGAATGTTAAAAAATTTTACATGTAATTTGGAAATATTTAATAAAATAAATATAAAGATAGTAGAACAAAGATATTGCAGAGTGCGTATTTCCTAGGTTCTCTTAACCCTAGAGGTAGCTAAGTAGAGCAGTAGATTGACAGAACACTGAGCTGAAAGTAAGGAAGATCTGAGTTCACATATGACCTAGTGTTATGACCCTGAGCAAGTCACTTAACCTCCTTCAGCCCCAGTTTTCTCAACTAAAATGGCAATAATAATAGCACTTACCTCTCATGGGTTCCTGTGAGATAATATTTGTAAACAAGGAATAGGAAACTAAGAGTACTTGGACAAAGAGATCCCAAGAGCACCAGTTAACTACCATGATATAACTCCCATGACAATTTTGACTGTGGATGTAAGGCTAGAAGCAGGCAGCATTCTGAACAAAATGACCTGAGGGGCCAGACATCTATAGGAACCTAACCTGAGACACTTCAGGGGCTCTGAAGACCACAGCATTATAAATCCAAAAAATACCAAGGAGCTTGAAATCTGCCAGCACTCTGAGCACAGATGCATCGAAGGAGGTGGAATTAGTGACAGGAGCCCAGGTAATCATGCTCATGATTCAAAAAAACCCCTTAACTATCCCATATAACATTACAAGAACATTCAGAATCTGGTCCTAGTGCAAAGACCCCAAGAAGGAATTGATGCCGGAGATATGAGTCAATGGAAGAAGAAAAAATATGTATTATAGGTCAATAGATACCCAAGAGATACACCTAGAAAAAGAGAGAAACCACATAGTGATTACAAGGATGGATTCAGAGAAAAAATGTCTTGGCCACAAGGACTAAAAGGGTACATGGAAGAAAAGAAGTAGGAGATTTTTAAAAATGAAATTATAAATGAAATAAGACTTCTTGGAAAAAAAAGAATTGGAAGGAAAATAAATATCCTAGAACATAAGTCAAGATACCATATCCAAGTAGCAGATTTCCTGAAAGTTGGAATGGAGCAAAAAGAACTCAATGACCCCATGAAATGAAAGATGATATTAATTATGAGTAATTAATATTTAATTGATAATTAATAAACATTAATTAAAAAGAAATATTAAATTTTAAAAAGGAAAATATTTAAAAAGATTGAAAAAATAAAAGAAAAGATAAGGCATTTTTTTAAAATGACCTAGAAAACAGGTCGAGGAGAGAGAGTTGAAGTGTAAACTATGTGGGAATGGTAGAAATAAGAGTTGTCTAAATACGTGGCTCACAGATGGCATGAACAACATTATCTGATGCACTATCAGCATTTCATCTAAGGGAAGAGTCAAGCCACCACTGCCAAGGCTCAGCAATCTCTTTTCCATTCTCCATGCCTCAAATAGCTCTGGTTTAGAGGTATGATAGAGTCAGAACAAAATCCAGGATATCAACAACCATAAGGAGAAAAAAGTGTTCCAAATCATGAATAATAAGAGAAATTCAATTTAAAACAACTCTGAGGTTTCACTTTACACACATCAGATTGTCAAATTTGGCAAAATAATGAGAGTCACTGACTGGAGTAGGGGAGGACAATCATGTTAATATACTGTTAGTGGAGCTATGAATTGATCTGAGCATGCTGAAAAGCAATTTGGAACTGTACTCAAAGTCATTAAATTATATACAATCTTTATTTACAAAATTAGGCAAATCTTAAAGCACTACATAAGCCCTAGCTATTATTATTCTACACCCACATAGGTAAATAGCTATACATACATACATGTATGAGTACATATCTATGTGTATACCTAAGAAGATAAAAAGAGAGACAAGGTCCAAAAGTACAAAAATATTCATAGTAGCATTTTTTTTGTAGCAAAGGATTGGAAACTAAAGTTATGCCTATCAGTTGAAAGATGACTGAAATTATTATGGTACATGAATGAAGTGGAATGTTATTGTGCCATAAGAATGATAAAAAGTGTGGATTCAGAGAAATCTGGAAAAACTTGTATGAAACAAGGCAGAGTGAAAAGAATAATTTACTCAACAGTGTAAAGACTTCAGAACTCTGACCAACACAATGACCCATAGAGACTGAAACGAAGAAGCATGCTACCTACCTACCTTGAGGTTATGGACCAGAGGAACATAGATTTTTGGGCATAATCAGTGAGTTGGATTTGTTTTTGTTGACTATGCATATCTGTTACAATACAAGTTTTTGGTTTTCCTTGGAGGATAAGAAATCTAGGGAACAGAGGGAGCAATGGAAATGTTGCCAGAAAAAAGAATAATGTTATTAAAGCATTTGTTTTAAATACAGGGAAGAGAGCAGAAGGAAATAGAAAGGAAGGCATGGAGGATAGCTTTGAAACTAATAAGTTGAATTCATTTTATGGTTTTAAAAAATACATAAGCTGTATTATAATCAAGATTTTCAGTTTCACATATAGAAACAATAAAGGAAATACATAGTTAAATAGACAGATAGGTATAGGTACACACACAAACACATATATTTATGATTTTGGGAGAGTCACTTTTCTAAATAGCTCTTCCATCCAGTTCCTTCACCCTTCATGAGTTCCAGATATGTCCTCAATGGACTCTACTTTCTGCTGTGTCGAGAAGTAATTCCATTCTCTTTATGGGGTATAGAAACTTATTATCTGTGTGGAACTGAACTCTCCATTTTCTTTCACTCTGACACCTCCCTTCCCTGTGTGATACTAAATCCTGCAACCATTTTCATCTTAGTAAAGAGCTATTGGGCTTTCATCTACTAAATGACATTTATTACCCAAGTTATTTAGAAAACCACAAGACTCAGGTCTGAACAAGAGAACAACAGTAGACCAGATTGGAAGGAGCAATTGCAAGACTGACCCTCAAGAATCTGAGCACTCTGGACAGAGACAGGAGCACAAGTCAGAGAAGAACAAAAGGTACTACTGATACTGTGGAAAAGCAGGTACCTGTGTGTGCTTACTTACCTCAGATCGAGAAGCTGTAGAACAGTAGCCAGGCTGCAGATAAGCAGAGAGATTACCAACGGAGGAAATCCATCTGCAGACATGCTGACCTCACTCCACCTCTTTTTTTTGTTCATGGCCTTCAGTCAGTTCGTTCTGGGGATTTGGGGGAATGGCTTTCTTGGGCTCATCCATTGCATCCACTGGATCAAGAGGAGCAAGATTTCCTTACCTGACTTCATCATTATGAATCAAGCCTTCTCCAGGATCTTCCTACAATGTGCGGTCATTTTTGATGGTGTTACCTTGGTGCTCTATTCCTATTTCTATTACGGAATGACAGTAAGTCAAATTAGTGAAACTAGCTGGTCCTTTAGTAACTATCTAACCACCTGGCTGTCCACCTGTCTCAGTGTCTTCTACTGCCTGAAGACTGCCATTTTCTCCCATCCTGCCTTCCTCTGGCTTAAGTGGAGGACTTTCCAGGTAGTTGCCTGCATTCTGCTGACCTGTGAGCTTTTCTTTTGCTTCAATACAGTGTTGCTGATCAGAAAATTGGATATATATTCTGGCCTCCTAAAAATGATACTCACTGCAAACTACACTGAAAATGTCAGAAGAAAGGAAAGAGAATTGTATGTCTTCCACCTTCCCAGTCTCCTGTGGACAGTGATACCATTCATTTTATCCCTGTTCTCCTGTTTCTTACTGACCCTCTCCCTGAGGAGGCATACCAGGATGATGGGGCACCAGGTCACTGCCTCCAGAGATGTGAGTACTAAGGCCCATGTGAGAGCCACCATTGTAAAGATTTCTTTCTCCTTACTCTTTCTCTTTCATTTTGTCTTTATCCTCATTAGAACAGCGAGCATGTTCCTGCCAGATGCCAAGGTGATATCAATGATTACATTGTTGGCAGCCCCTCTCTCTCCCTCTGTGCACACATTTATCCTCATTCTGCAAAGCAAAATCCTGAAGCAGGCATTCCTGAGGCTGCTGTGGTTGAAGAAGGACAGTATGAAAGCTGGGGTCAGGGCATCATTGACCCATTAGTGCAAAGGGGTGGGGGAAGGGCAGTGTAGTCTCTGCAAGTCTTTTACAATTTGACTATTCTAAATAGCCAGATGTCATAGAATGGAGAACATTGAACCTAAAATGAGAAAGACCTGAGTTCAAATTCTGCCTCAGACACCCACTGTATGACCCTTGGCAAGTCATTTAACTTCTGTCTGCTTCATTTTCCTCATGTGCAAAATGGAGATGATAATATTGGCACCTACTTCACAGGTTTGTTGTGAGAATAAAATTTAAAAATATGTTTAAAGCTCTTCGCAAACCTTGAAGTGCTACATAAATGCTGGCTTTTATTATTAGCATAATTTAACATTATAGATATAAAGATATTCATATATATAATGATGTCCCTAAGGTTTTCTTTATATAATGTAACTTTTTAAATGTTTTTAAGACATTCAATGTAGTCTGAATTTCATTTCAAAATGCTGTGTTTACTACACATCATTCCAACATGTTAAATAATATGTGAGCATATAACATATATATACACATATGTGTGTACATATACATATACAGAAATAGATTAAATATATAGATAGAAGACAAAGTTTTTCCCTTTGGGAGCAGAGTTTATTGTGGAGTTCTTATATTTGGACAATATGAGTGATAGGGTGACTAGCGCTCAGGGATGAAGACTAATGTCTTTGAAATAGGCAGATGTCTATGGTAATCAGGTTCCCATGTGAGAGATATTTGAAAAGCTGAAGAGGTTTGAAGGGAGGTGTGTGGGGTGGGGGTAAGGGAGATAATAATAATTATACTATATGTTATTTATATAGTGCTTTATAAAGTGACTTTATCAGATCCATGCTGGGAGGAAGATAGTACAAGTACGTTTATCCCAAGGTAACACCAGATGACCAGGCAGGTAGGGCTCATATAAAACAGATATGATCCTGGAGGCTGGTGCCAATAGGATCACTTTTTTCTCTCTTTGATTTGTTGCTACCACCTGAAGTGGAAGGAAATTCTCCTGGCATACTTGCCATATAGATGGTTCTAAGTTTCTCCACATGTGAATAAAAGTAGTACTCAGATACTGTATATGTACTCAAGGGAGCAATGCCTTGACCCTATATTTCACTCCACAGAAAATGCAGAAGACACAACCACTCATAGGAGTTCACAAACTGATACAAACAAACCCCTACAAACACACATAAAAAGCCCTCAAATAACCCATAAGATCTCTCCAAAGGGGAACTGAACAGAGGGTGACTATTAGGGCAACTCTTTGACATTCCAGTGAGTCTTCTTCCTCCCAGAGTCTTACATTGTAACCCCTCCCCCACCAAAACTTAAAGTACTACCTTGTAATGTAGAATCCTCCTAGAAAAAAGTGCACACAGAGCTACTAAAACTAACAATCCCTTTCCCCCTGGAACTGTAATGTCTCAATAATTCATTTTACTGCTCTCCAAACAAGATGCTGTGCAAAACATTTAGATAATACTCTTCTTTCTCCAAGAGCCATGTTGCATCAGGAGATCTCTTCTCCTCAAAAGGTACGATCTCAAGGACTTCTGGGTCATGTGAACAATAAAATAGAGGACCAGAAATTTTCTACAATCCCTACTCACTTTCAGGGGGAAAAATTGTGCTAGAAGTATAGCAATTACAGCTGAATTCACAGAAGAAATAAAGCAAAATGCCCAACAAGGTAACAGTCTTCTCAATTAATTGTGGAAAATGCTAACTCCTATCACATTCATTCAACACCCCTCTATGACGAGTCTTCAGTCTACTGTAGGGTGAACAATCCATATCAGCAGAAACTGACCCATGGGCTCATGCTTTGCATTCCCCTCCTGCTACAGAGAGTCTATAGGAAATAATGCTAACAGAATTCATGCTCTCTAAGTAAAAGTCATTGATCTCAAAGACTAGATCACAAAGACAGTTTAAGGATCATATATCTCCAAGAAAAACATGGCAAACATGAAAATCAGAATACCATATTGCCAAAAATCATACAAGAAAATCACTCAGAACTTCTGAACACAGAAAGTAAATGAATCAAAAATGAATTTGATTTGGTGAATCAAGAGTCTACGCATTACCTCTAAAAAATAATTTTATTCTTCAAACTCTGAGACACATACTAATTAACTTTAATAATTTAAATAACAAAAACAAATTTTTCAGGTGGCCAAGGGAAAAACCTTCAAATATTAAATGAAGGAAATTTAAATATCATATGTCTACTCTGCTCCCACTAAAAACTGAAGAAGGGAAGGAAGGATAATATTCATAAAAGGAAAGCAACTTGAAATGTAAAGTAAAATGACAGCCCATACACATGAGCCCAACTGTCAATGAAAAAAAAAAGAGATAGATATTCAATAAAAGACATTTGTAGCATTCCTGGGGGGGAAAAAATGATCCCAAATTCTGAAACTTGAGCTAAGTAAACATGCACATCTTCTGCCATGTGCTTCTGGAGGAAATCTCTTATTTCCCTGACTGCTGCCATCTCTTGAGCTGGGAAAGCCTGTTCCCAGGAATTTGGGTTTATGATCTGTGCTCAGAAGCTATGGGCAAAAACAAGTGACCACCATCTATGCCTACTCCCAAAGCAGCTATGCTAGTTCCTCAATATAGGAAACTGTACAGAAGCACTGGTCTCTCTTTCCTCCCACCACACACACCCATCCTGAACTTATGTCCATTCTGCTACCTGATGATCTCTTCTTTTAAAGACCAAGAGAGCAAGCTTTCTGTCTGTCCACTGTTATTGCCTGCAGAGGAGAGCAGCAACTCTGACAAGTATCCATTCTACTGAGTCTTGCCCAGTGATATAAGAGTACCTTGTGTCTCAGAAGGCACCATTGGACATACCTACACTCCAAGAAGTTTTAGTCAAGTGTTTGCAAATAAAATTTTATATCCTGTAAGATTGCATCAGGATGACTGCGGAATTGATCAGATTGGTTAGGGACTCTGATCAGGAACACTTATATTAATGGCTAACAATACATTGAAGACATTTAAATGTGAGCAGCTGAGCAGCATTATTTGGATAACTCAGGAGGGCTCACTAAAACACCTAGGGAAAGGAGGAGGGAGGGTGCCCTACACACCATCTAGCACTGTGATAGACCAATGAAGAATAGATGTATAGCTCCTGTCACACTTCTTAATTTATATAATACTTATTAGTGTATATCTTAATTCATCCTCTCCCTACCAAAAAGAAAAAAAAATTGTTTGATTGTGTCATGAGATGGTAAAAGTCAGCCACCTGTCCAGATAAAGAGGCAGATCAAGGATCCCATGGCAGAGGTAGAATGTTTATTCCAGGAAAAATAATAATAATAATAAACTCTCCCTACCAACACTTACTTGTTAAGTCCTGTCACCAAGAAATGGTACATTTCCATCTTTGATGAAAATTGTCCAACAGACCAATTAAGATAAAGCAAACCATCTCCACCTTATAAGTGCCTCAGGAAAATAGCTTATAAAATGTCCAGTTGCCAGCGTCTTTAGGAGAAAAAGTAATTGGCTGCCCTTCACTTTAGACAGTGCTGAGAAAATCACCACTAGCCACTGGATTAGCAGCACATCCAATCAGGATGCACTTCCCTTGGTCCTCTCAATTTGTCATTTCCTTTGGGTTCTCCTAGTTACAATGCTAGCAGGTACCAGCACAATGAGCAGGTGCTGGAATATCTGAATTGATATTACAGATATTGATCTGCAGATATTGCAGAATGTGAGGCAGTTTTCAGAAGAAGATATCAAAGCTATAGATAGTCATATGAAAAAATGCTGTCAACCACTACTGATTAGAGAAACGCAAATTGAAACTACTTTGAGACACCACCTCACACCTATCATATTGGCTAACATGACAGAAAAATGAAAATGACAAATTCTAGAGGGAATATGGAAAAATCCAGACACTATTGCACTGTTGGTAGAGTGGTGAAGTAGTCCAACCATTCTGGAGAACAATCTGAACTATGTTCAAAAGATTTAAAATTGTACATGCCCTTTGGCCCAGGAACACAAGTACCAGATCTGGATCCCAAAGAGGTCAAAGAAAAAGGTAAAGTACCTATTTGTACGAAAATATTTATAGCAAAACTGTGCATACCCTTTGACCCAGCAATACCACTTCTAGGGCTATATCCCAAAGAGATCATAAAAACAGAAAAAAAGACCCACGTGTACAAAAATGTTTATAGCAGCTCTTTTTGTGGTGGCCAAAAATTAGAAATTGAGGGGATGACCATCAATTAGGGAATGGCTGAACAAGTTATGGTGTATGATTGTAATGGAATACTGTTATACAATAAGAAATGATGAGCAGATGGACTTCAGAAAAACCTAGAAAGACTTACATGAACTGATGCTGAGTGAAATGAGCAGAACCAGGAGAACAATGTACACAGTAAAAGCTACATCATGCAATGACTAAATTTCATAGCCTTGGCTTTTCTCAGTAATGCAAGGATCTAAGATAACTCCAAAAAACTCGATGGAAAATGCTGTCCGCATCCAGAAAAAGAACTATGGAGTCTGAATGCAGATCAAAGCATACTATTTGCTCTCTTTTGTTGTGGTGGTGGTGGTGGTTGTTTTGTTTTATTTCTTCTTTCTCATGGTTCCCCACCTTGGTTATAATCCTTCTTTACAACATGACTAATTTAAAAATATGTTTAATATGAATATATATGTATAGCCTATATCAGATTTGCATGCCGTCTTGGGCGGGGGGAACTGAGAGAAAATTTAAAACTCAAAATCTTATGGAAGTGAGTGTTGAAAACTCAAAATAAATAAATGAATAAAATTTTAAAAATATATTTATAGCAGCTCTTTTTGTGGTGGCAAAAAATTTGAAATCAAGGGGATGTCCATCAATTGAGGAATGGCTAAAGAAGTTGTGGCATATGTTTGTGATGGAATACTATTATTGTACTATAAGAAATGATGATCAAGAGGGTTTCAGGAAAACATGGGAAGATTTA